AAAGCGTTGCCATGACTTTACCACAAAGCGTTGCCACGACTTTACCACAAAGCGTTGCCATGACCTTAACCCCCAAGCGTTGCCATGACCTTAACCCCCAAGCGTAGCCATGACTTTCCCCTGTTTGCTACTCCACTCCAGACATGGAGCGCCACATCTTCCACGTGGCGCACGAGGACGCTCTGACCCGCGGGCTGTGCGGGAACACGGTGCCGGTGTGTGACGCCTGTCTGCTCCGCCCACTGGACGGCAGCGACGGCTTCGAAGTCGGCGACTACACCGAGATGATCTGCATCGCGTTCGCAGCCTTCACGGCGGGGCTATTCTTCTGGTTCTTATGGTAGGCTGACGTGTTGAGCTATTAAACTAGAAAGGTAACATTTGCAAAACAAATGCATTATGTTTACCTTCACATGGCCCAGCTTAACAAGCTTTGTTTATTCGTATATGGTGACCATGCAGCCAATCTTGAACTCAGTTCTGCATAGCACTTACAACATTATGTACAACCCAACACCAGTTATCATGGTAAGAGACGTTTGGTTCAGGTCATTATCCTTATTTGTTTGAAGATGAGGAAGAAACTGAGGAAAAACAATATGTTTCCTTCGGTAAACATAATTATAGGCATCCAATACAAATCAACAGAAACTTCTTTACCAGCCAAACCACAAGTTGACTAGACATGATCATACCTTCTTCCATCAGGTACACAGGAGTCTAAGCTGCGCAGGACACGGGGGTGGATTCAACGTCGGGATGGCGGACAGGGTTGGTCATGTTCGTTAACGTTGGCCAGACATCTCTACAAATAAGGAATTCTATTCTATATCAGACCCCTTGGGTTGCTGAAAAACAGTAACATGTAACTCTATGTGTTTATAATGTTAAAACGTTTGATCCAGCACAAAGAAGTTCTCTCACCAAGAACTTTTGACCGGTCACTCTGGTCTTCCTCAGTAGACTGACCCAGTGAGGCTTGTCACGTGGCTTCTTTGAAGTGTGATGTCATCACTTCTTTGAAGTGTGACTGGTTGAAACTCTAGGTGAGAGACCTCTTTGTGTTGGATCAAAAGTTATAACTTTAAAATGTAACTACCAACAATCGGATGAAATTTCACGTTGTAGCTATTGTAACTCTATGGCACGTTGGGGACACTAACAGGAAGTTAGGTGAAAGGTCCCAGAAAAGGTTATCTTATTTCCTGTCTTCAACTTCCAACAACATGCATCTCTTTTTCCTTATGGAAGCCAGCTTGAATATTCATACTACAGAACAAGCGAGAAATTCACACAAAAATGAATAATACAACAAAAAAATCCACAAAATTTTATGGAGGTATGAGATCTTCAACATCTTGTCACTATTTCTTTCTAGTCTGGCTGGCACCGTTGGGACCCTAATTAATAGAGTCTATACTTTATTGTCTCGATGAAAACAAGACAAAATCTATAAAATCCATAACGTATTATATGTCATGGGCATCGTTACGGGAGAAAAAATGCTGTGTGTGGAATAAAATCATTGACTATGTGTTCTGCCCTGATCCTCCGGATAAAAAGGTCGCAACAACCGAGGCATTTTCCATTGAATGCCGATTTGCACCAAGGACGTTCTAGAATGTTAGCCTGGGTACCACCCTGGTTAGTTTACGTCCGCTCCCATAGTCGCTACCGAGAGCAACTGTGGGAGCGAACGTAAACTAACCAGGGTGGTACCCAGGCTACTAGAATGTTCTTGATTGTCTTGATTTGCACTTGTGTTATTCCAATCTCCAAGCAGATGTATAGTGTGAGCTACTCGTTTCTGAGGATTTGTATCCCTCTTTCTACTGCATTTTCTATATCTTCCCCCTCGAAGAATAGAAAATGTCCACTACTAAAAAGACTCACTACATGCCGCAAAACATTGGAACAGAGCTAAATCCTACGTCTGCTTGGAGATTATACATAGCCCTTACACACAGTTACAGGGCTGTGTACTTGTAAAAAGCTGTAAGAAATATCCAGTGTAGAGGCATATATTGATCGCGACATTTTGCAATAACCGATTACTTAACCTTATCCTCCTTTATCAAAAGGTTATAAAACGAATATTCAATATCATCAAGCAAGGACATTATACATGTCCTTGATATCATTGATCATCATTATATTGTATTGGGATGTACTAGTAGCAAAGCTTATAAGGTGCACTACTGATATAACGCATGGTTTGTGGTTGGTGAATTATTCTCAATTTCTCAAGCTGTGCCTTAGTGAATGCACAACAAAACATCTGCTTTCTACATTCTAGATACTGGAATAACTTGTCAAAAGTCTCTATTGTTTTCTTACTTACTTGTACTCTATTGTTTTCTACATATGCAGTAATCGTTGACTAGTAGTACCATGTTTTATTCTATAGCTCGCTGGCTGCACCATATATTATACTAGTGCCTTCAAAATAATGTACAGAAATTTGTGTGTAGAATTTGTCAACTACAAGAAGGCACTTTGAGGCAAAGAAATCATTCCTGCCGCAATAGTCTTGAGTTCATGTAACAATACTTGCTTAGTTGAGTAAAATTATAGCATAGAAGGGATCTTGTGTAAAGCTACTGTCATGATTAATAAATATATCAAAGAGACTAAGTTAAAAGGATGGAACATAATACATGCACATCTGAAATAAACATGACAGAGATAGCAGACTTCACCCCACTATCTCTACTGCTTTGCTGCACCTACAATCCCACAAAGACACTAGTAACAGCACTGACGATATATGGCAACACTGCAGTGTGTATGCTTGGTATTGCAGAAACACACAGACAAGCCAAAACAATACTACACAGCTGCACACCCCTGCAGCCAAGTAAAAACAGGAAGCCATGGCCAAACCATTTTCAATGTAGCAAATCCTTTCTGTGCATTCAGATATTACAGAAGTATTACCTGCAAAAACATTTCATACTCCACTAATTCATTTCAATGGCAACTCTAACACAACATATTATATTATTATAACATATATACACAACACACAGAGGGAGAGAAAGAGGGAGACAAAGAGGGAGGGATAGAGAGAGAGAAAGCAAGGATAATGCAGTGTGACTGGCTATAAAAGCAAAAAGCCGTAGCCAAGCTGAACTATTAGTTACTGAAAAAGCATTACGCTTTGTCTCAAACATTACACATGTTCGAACAAACAACACACACACACAACATAAAAATTTGGAAAGAAAAGTTTATTTTACATTCAGTGTCATGTCCTACATGGCTTCCACTTTTACACATTGTACCATCTTGGTCTTGTACGTATCCAGCTTGTACTTCCCTTAACAACTCTCACAGTCATCCTGTGGATTTTTAAGCCATCAGATAGTGTGCAATACAAAAAACACAGAAAGCATGCATTTTTAAAAGAAGATTACATTCCATTGTGATCCAATATATACAGTAAAAAGCTTTAAAATCACACCTTAAGCCATTTATAGTAGCTTTTTAACATAATGATCCAGGGGATCCCTGTTGTAGCTTCTTTGAAATGTTTACTTCATTCAGTTATGATTTTGTATAGATGTAAATTTTAAAGCCGTTTTAAGAAAATGTCTATAATTACAATTAGTGTCTGAAACATATCCATTCCATATCACTATCATTGGTACAAACTTCATCATCACATCTCATGTGTTCATCATGTAGTCCTTGATTCATCAACTTCAATTTCTTATTAAATCCTAAATCATTGTCAACAAAAGTTGCATAATGGTCTGCAGCATTGAACTAAGTGCAACAGAATATGTCTACAAGCTGTTCTCTGACTTCATATATGTTCTACATCCACGTCCAATACAAACATGTACAGACATACCAAACACATACATGTACCCCTGGAGGGTTGTTTTTGTTACACATTCGTCAGCTTTGTATAGCTTTGTCAGAAATACACTCTACATCCATGTAAAAATTCAGCGCTCTTACTTTCAAGTTCTACATAGTGATGTCTTGTGTACATACACTCCAACATGCTTTTGATGATGTATCAAGCTTCCAAGTTTTCAATCTACAAAATGGAGACCTTCTTCTGACCTTACTTAAGGCTATTTTTTTATTTACACATGCATTTTCCACAGACAACACAATGCCTTTGACTACATGCACAGCTGACTTGCCCTGTAGGTCGTAAAAGACCACAACAATTTAACATCTGGGTATCACATAGTACCAAGACATTAGATATGTGTGGATGATGGTATATTGACACCTTTGTTGTATGTGAGAGTACATTAGGTGCATTATCATATGCAAAGCTACAGGTGCACTTGACTGTGTGTACAACAATGGTAGAGAATACATTGTGCAAGGCTAGAGCAGGAGTATATTTTTATATTGTGCATCTAAGTCTATTCAACACAGCCTGACAAGACTCTTACATCCAGATGGATATGCAAGGCATGGGTTTCTTTTAAAGACCTTACACAAACTTTTCAAAAACACTCTAGGATGTTAAATGTTTCCTTTAGATGACGACATATATTGTCTTACAGTAGCTTGTTGTAAGCAAAGAATTTATAGCTGTTACACCACCCTTGCAGTAGTATCCAAGTCCAAGAATGTAAGAGTATGTCACTAATATCAAACACAATCCAATGTATGTCCAATAGATCTACAAACAATCTCTGATAAAAGATCTTACCTTCATACACTGAAGTCAAAGAAATTTTACCACTTTGAAATTTTATGATTCATTACATCTTGGTTATACAAATACTGTTGAAAATCCTCTAAAAGCAAAACAGTTCAGCAGCCATACAATGATACATTCTGAAAAAGAAAAAGAATCTTTAAAATGTCCGCTAAGAACTGGACTTGTCTATGTGATCAACTGCAGGAATCTATATTCTGTGTACTGATGCCAAAGAAAAACGGATACAATTTTACATAAAAATGGACTCTGGAGGATTTTGATCATGTAGTCTTTCTGCAGTCCTCACAAGCAACCTTTCTGTTTTTGTTTTCATTTTTCCAAACACAGAAAGACAAGATGGCCACAAAACCTACAGAGTCGATCTTCTAAAAATCACCAGTTGTTGTTACAGTGTAGCAATTAAAGCAAGGCTCTCTCAAAATGATCTGCATGTCCTGCACATGGCCGCTGTCTTCTTCCTTCCACTAGAACTGGATACAGACTTCCTGGATCACTGTGCCAGCGTAGAATCCAACAATGCTGAAGCAATCGTCTGGTGGTATCAGATCGCGTTTAGCCAAGTAGTGGCCCTCTGTGAACAGGAAATTGAGTGGTCAGCCTGGCATTGAACAGTTGGCAAGATTAGAAACAAGCACCACTTGTACATGCTTCTTTCTAACAAATTGTAAGACTTCAAACAGTCCAGTCACAGCATTAGAATCTGTATCTCTAACATTGTGTTTGGAGAGCTTCCAGTTCAAACCCATGCCATGTCATACCACATAGAACTTATGAGAAAGAGTGGTAACTTGGTAGTTGAATGTACACCACTACCAGTGGGCAACTAGCCCCCTGCTATAGTACTGGCACAACTGTGTGGCTCAAGGGCTACAGAAATGGGGATATCCACTACCTCTTATACAGTTTCTTTACAAGTGTTGACTAGCTCTTTCAGTTCATTCTAATGACACTGAAGAATAGTGGATGTCACTAAAAGTAATCTCTGTAATTTATGCAGTGGTAGGTAGAGTTTGAATTGTCTTTATTCTTTTTTGCCCTGTCGCTTCATTTTTTTCTGAAAAAATCCATGAACCAACAAATCAAATTGGCGTGGCCTCATAACAAAAATGTAAGGACTACAAACCTGGGCGCAGGTCATCATCCTTCTTGACGCTGGCCAGCCTGTAGGTGTCCACACCCCTACACAGGGCGTGGATGTACTGTCCCAGCTGTGCCGTGTCAGCGATCGCAGGCTGCACCACGCGCATCACTTCACGGTTCACGTAAGCCTGTGGCATGTAGCTCCCATCCTGGGGGGACAAAGGGACATCATTTTGCATACTGAAATTTCTTTCTTAGCTTACAGTATCTGAATTGGTATACATGCACCTGGTATAACCGCCCTTTGGCATAACACACCAGCTTCGCAGCCACGTGGCGCGGTGGCAGCTGGCTACATTACACCGAATGACTTGTTACACCTAACCCTAACATTGTTTAAAGCCATCTTATGATAATGCCCCTACTGAACTTGGTGACAGCGAGTCCCACTCTGCGATAGGTCTACAAAAGAGTGAGTTTTTGAACACTTTAATCCTTGGTTGATAAGTCTGGTACTTGAAGGCATGACTATTTCTTGTTCTTTTCTGAATATTATGCATAGTCTGGACAATTTTCGTCTGTCTTCCAGTGACACCCACTGTAGGCTTCTTTCATTCTGTCACACTAGCACATACTAGTTGATTCTGTACCCTTTCCAGTTAATCTTTGTCTTTCTACCTACAAGGATGCCATACTGTACACACATGAAAGTGAAACACAATTGTTTTACATGAAGCTGAAGACAAGGAAAGTCAGACATACGCTGATGCGCATCAGCAGGTCGAAGAGGCTGCGAGGGGGGGACACGGCCGACTCGTTCAGGGCCATCACGAAACACCTCATGTGATCCCAGTCCTTGAAGGCAGTCAGTTGCTACGGGAAGAACAAAATGCAATAATTAGATACAAACAACTCGTAATGTTCCGTAATTACTAAATAATTTCATCAGGTTGGTAAACGAATGAATAGCAAAGTTCTTTGATCACAACCATTTATTTTTCACGAGCCGACGTTTCGATGACCGTCTGTCATCTTCATCAGAATTGCCCTGATGAAGATGACAGACGGTCATCGAAACGTCGGCTCGTGAAAAATAAATGGTTGTGATCAAAGAACTTTGCTCTTTAACTTGTAATGTTCCTGATGAGTGTAGTTTATATTTTGAGTCTGTCAATGTGCTTGGTAGTCATTCGCCATGCCCGTAGCCAGGATTTTGAATGGGGGGGTTCTTCCCACTGCTTGAGGGGACCTCGAGCGCCGTAGGCGCGAGGCGAGCGCCGAAGGCGCGAGGTTCCTAGGGGGGTCCGGGGGCATGCTCCCCGGAAAAAATTTTGAAAAATGAACCTTCTAAAATGGTATTTCGTGCATTTTTGAGAGGGTTTCCAAGAAAAAATCAGAGATAATTTTTTTTCAATAACAAAGGGAGCAGTTTTTCTACGATTCCAGTCCATCTTTTCAAGAAAAATCTTGGACCTTTACATAAAAAGTGGACCAAAAAGTGGACCTTTACATAAAAAGTGGACCAAAAAGTGGACCTTTACATAAAAAGTGGACCAAAAAGTGGACCTTTGAGCCTTGTGGGGGGGTTCTTCCGAACCCCCCGAACCCCCCCTGGCTACGGGCATGTTCGCAAATGTCAGTGTTTGTGTCCTAGTGTCTGTTAAAGTAGTGTATACTTATGTGTATGGTTTTGACAATGATAGTATAGTTATCAATAGATAATTTTGCAAAACTGTGAACTGTAAGGAAGAGAAAAAGGCCACAAAAGATTGCTGACTTAACTTTAAAACATCTTTAAATATGTTCTTTATGTGATCATGGCAATGGCTGCTTTATCCTGTGATTTCCTAACGGATAGCTCACAAGGATATCTGTTTACATTTAGTTGTCAAAGGTATACAACATGATCCTAGTCTTACTTCCATAGTGCTAAAATTGGGTATGTTTCACAATTGACACTTTAGGACTTCCAACTTATGAAAAATGTTGAATTCCTACCCTCCTGAAGTCGTGCAGGACCGTGGCGTGGTTGCACTTGTCAAAGTCGGGCACCTCGATGCGCTCATACTCGCCGTCAATGTCCACCTCCACATCCTCCTCCAGCATGGCCCACTGAGCGCGGGGGGTGGTCGGGTCGTGCCCACGGTTGTAGTAGTGGCTGTTGTAGCGCACGCCGCAGCGCCCGATGAACTAGATAGAGACAAACTTGTTCTTACCAAAACATCTATATTTGATAACATCTTCAACCATTGCAGGAAGGTATCATAGTACCATATATCATATGGGTGAGCAATGATAGCTGAGTGTGAAAGTTGGGCATACCCCGCCTGGCACACCATCATACCTTTCTGTTTGGCACTCTAACTTCTAGTCTAAGGTGATAAGAGTTTTGTGCCACTCTCAGACTATTCCAGAACTTAGGTTTCATAGTCATACAGCACCTCTAGAGAAAGTGTCATTCTTGGCCTTTGTAATTAATATCAACAACTGTGCCAAAATAATGGCCACAATACAGAAATACAATGTTTGTACAGAAAACTTCTAATAGAGCCCTCCATAGATTTGAAACATCTACCAACAAGAAGTAGCACCATTTCCCAGTGAGAATTTTTTGTGTAGCACAAACTTCCAAATTGCTTATGGCACTATGAGGCTCCCCAATTCTTGGCGCACAAACAGTAGTAGGTCTACAAAAGCATGTGTTAGTCAGGCTAGTGTTCCCTGTACCTTCCTGTGGCGTCCGAAGTGGCGGTACAGGAACAATCCACCAGCGATGCCCCCAATGACCAGCAGCATGCAGATGAGGGCCATGATACAGGAGGTACAGCCGTTCCTGCGCCGGGGCATGGGCTGGGTCACCGCAACAGTGGCCGTCTCCACATCATTCTCACCATCTGCTGGTTTCTGGGGGGAAAAGGGAACATTCATACGTCAACTAAAAGAAAGTGGTTTCCTGAAAAAAAAGAATTGTATAGGAGTGAATTGGTGTTGGGCTAGCCTGGGTGCCAGACTGGTACACACTGGACAAAATATCTCAGTGAGCATACTTTGTGTCCAGTGTGCTATGGGTTTGGCACCCAGGCTAGTGTTGGGCCAGCAAGATCTCACTCAGTCCATCTTAATATCTGCATCTAGACTTTTACATGCAACAGTATTTGTTAAGTCCTTAAAATCTACATGTAGACTACATGAACATTATGAGTATTTGACACTATCTATGAGCCAAATATCTAGAGGAAGAAGAAATAGGTACATGTATGTACCACTTTGGAAATCAACTTTTAATGAGATTAAGTAGAAACTCTTAAATTTTCTATGTTACTTTTTATATATTACAATGTATTTATGCAGAGTATTATACATATACGAGTAAGAAGTGTGGTTTAAAAAAGCAGTACATATGCTGTTTGTTTCAGCAGCATTGACTGACATGTACTCGTACAATAACTTGTTGATGTTGAGACTAGTCTTACATGTCTCTGTACCATTTACATTTGTAACTGTCATCAATATGCATGTCATGTCTGTTCCTGCCCCAAAGCCAGACAAATTAACAAAGATCACGACACCCACACAGTCACCTTATATCAGGATTTGAATATCAATCACCAACAAAACCAGTGACAGAAGTGAAACTGATAACCTTGCTTTGTCTACATGACAGCAAATTGCAATTACAAACATGTACAATCTTCACAAACATCTTAGAACAAGATACTTATTTGGGTTGTTTTGTGGCCTCTTGTATTGTATTGAGTTGTCATGTAGACCAAACATCGAAGAACTAAATAACAGTATATTTTCCATGTTCAAACTATTAGTATTATTTAGTATTAGGAATGTCCCAATAAGGTTCTACATAGAAAACTGAAGGCCAAACCACCTGTAACACTACCATATGGAACATCTCTTCTACACCTTTATTGAATTTCAGACTTTAGACAGCTGTGTGTGTAGTTAGCACTGAGTGCACAACCTGTGTGTTTTGACACCAGGTTGTTGGCTCCCTGTCAGCACTATCAATGTTCCCATCTCCCCAAGGTGATAGCAAACATTAGGAAATTAAAACAGCTCTTCGGGCAATTGGTGGGTTGTTTTCATCACCCTTTATGTCTTCCTTACAACATTACACTGTGCAAAAATCCATATACGTGTATATCATTACTGCTGTGGCGCTGCTTCGGTTTCACATGCCAAACTTGGGAAAATTATATTGATGTAACATCATCCTCCAAGAATGCCATATAATAAGAGCTGAAAGTAGATGGTTATTAGCCTGATATGAAAGTGAACATGTTTTTGAATGGGCAACTTGCCACTTCTAGGGAGTGGAAACACACTAAGTTCAGTAAATTTTTTGACATTTTATCTTGTAAATATCAACGCCATTCAGGCAACATTGTATGTCATGTTTGTCTATTATGTTTGGTATCCAAATAAAGAATTGAATTGAACCAAATCTAACATAATGATATATTCAATCAAAAACCTTTTAAGAATCTACCAGGTATTTTCACTTTGATAAAAAATTGACTTAGTCTTTAGATGAACTGGGAGATGATAGAATAGTCAAACATATAAACAGACTGTATGGTGGGGTGTCTCTGGCAGACTTGGACAGACACTACATATGCATGTTGTAATGTTGAGACAGAACAGACATGAATGCATACATATGTACCGCGTACACGTACATGGCGATATACTGCTGTGATCTCACTACTGCACTGCAGCAGACAGACAATTCCCAAGGCCCCATCTCTGTACTGTTGCCAGCAACTCACTCAGACCCTAGACCATAGGTCTGGGCCAGATGGAGGTTTACCCTATCTCCAAGCAGATATTGGGGTAGAAAATCGTAATGATTTCTGTCTACTGGTAGAAGAACTGTCAGAAAACTTGAGAAAGCCTGTCCAGTCACAATAATCTACCACAACAACTGCTTGCAGATTAGTTTTACCCACTCCTTCCCTCTCTAGAAGGCTGAAGAGGTTCACCTGTTACCCTTCAGAAGCTAGCCAAATGTGACGTCTGTAGTATGCTCGTGTATGAAAGGGGTTAGTGTTCCGGTGTTCTGGACTTGAAGCAGTGATGCTTGACTCTTCATAATAGACCACACCTTTAGGGCATATTTTTGCTGCGTCATTCAGCAAAAGAAAATGGTAATGTTCAAATAATTGGTGTTTATTTTGGTGTAACATCGGCAAATATGTGACCCGCAATGCAAGGATGCATTGAACCACCTCACACTTGTTTTCAGCTTAAAATCTCAATCTCCTTTTGCCTGACTGCTTGCAACACGGCCACTGGCATTATACATAGAAAATTGCCAGAACGTTTGCTAGCTGAATACAACTTTTATTTCCCTTTACAGATCACATGACTTTTACCTTGGCTGATTTTTGTTTATATTTTCATTCATGCAAAACAAAAAGGTGAAAAAATACAAAGACCATTGTGTTCTTGTGCAAGAACTTAGTATGTTTTTTTTCTCCCTCCAGACTAATCTAATGCTTTATAAATCATGTATCACACGTAAGCGGGAATGCCACGTTAAAAAGGGTTGCCTGCAAATTGTGCAATTACGCTCAAGGGAGGGCGGATCGTCTAGACATTTTCATATTAACTCAACAGCCTAACACTACACTAATGTACAAATGGACGATACTTTCAGCAACATTTTTATAATGACCTTCAGGGAAAAAAACATCACAATTCTGACACAATTTTTCTCACATTTTACAGTTTGCTTTAAAACATGAAAAGAGGGAAGAAATGAGGGAACATTATTTCTCTTTTGTAAAATCAATACATACCTGTATCTACAGAAATTTAGGAATTAAAAAGTTGGAAGTATTCCAGAAACTATCGATCATTGCAGGATAACAATACTGAAAACAGTACTGTAACAGCTTATGAGGCCTTCCATGGCATTGCAGACAGAAATTGCTTGCAGTGGCTTTAATCTCAAGTAAATAATGCATATATTTATGCCAACAGAAAGGTGTGGCCCCCAAAAACTAGACATGTTCGAGTTTTGGTACAGAATGCAGAACTTTCCTGACATAACAAGGAAATTTCCTTCACAATTTTCGAACTCGAACTTCCATGGGGATTTCCCTTAGTCAAAGAAAAAGGAACATGAGTTATCTTTAAATGTAATTCTTCAATGTTTTTTTTTTTAATGTTCTGTTTTCCGTAAGCGTTGAGGTGTCCCTCCTACCTTCTAGAATTTATGTTCGACTGGTTAACCCTGCCTAAATTTGTACTGATTCTAACTTCCAGTGTTGTGAATGGTGAAGAAGGTGACAAAATAAAACGTAAGAGAACTGAAAGGTCTGTAATATATGATTTCTACTCCGTTGGGAAAATACATCAAGGAGGTTACAGACCTATTAAAAGGTTGTTTACATAACTTAGGTACGTGTACTTTCAAGTCAGCACGTACACGTAACTAGCTGTCTGGAAGGAAGACAGTTTTCGCAGTATTTCCTTGCCACAAAAGTTTTCTTCTCTTTCGTAACGCTTAAAATTTTGGATCCTTGCCAAAAAGGAAGTGGCGATGGTTTGCCATGTCACGGCTCCATTTTCACTTGGTTACATATCCTTTGGGGTTTTCCTCTTCAAACAAATCAAATCGACTGGACTGTGTAGATCATTAAAAGGTGTCTATAAGCATGCTAATTCCCATAAAATACGGCGAAGATGAAGACCAAAAAGTGTCAATCCGTCAAAACTAAACAAACACTGAAAGAACCCAATCTTTGCTGCGATTACACAAACGCAACACAAAATGGCCGTCACCTTTTTACGAAACAACCACTGGCCAAAAATTAACAACACAAGAACGGCGCTTACCATCGGGATTTTCACATCCTTGACGGGGTCCTTCTGCCCGCTGGGGTTAGCTAGGGTGATCTTTCCCATCTTGTTGTCCTGTTCTGAGGGAAGAGGGGGAGAAAGGCCGCCTGAAAGACGCTGAGCGAGAAGGAAACGGTCTCTTCTGTCAGCTTCTGCTTTCGCCTCTGATTAGGTCACGTGACGAAATTGTAAATGTCGTCAGAGACGATTGTCTCACGATTTAGAACTCTTCGTTAATTTGAGTGATTTTGGTTTAGATAACATTTAATCTTTTAATTTTTCGCAATAATCAAGCACTTGGTGGAATGTATAAGTTTGAAAAGTTGATTTTCGGTTCTATTTGTTTACCACCTGTTAAAATAACCACACCCCGGACAACAAGTGGAATCGCCCAGGTAGAGGCTGACGGGAAGTCAAGATGGCGCCCAACTTGAATTTTTTTGTGACTTTGAACACTTTCGGTCAGAGAAACGCGATTTTGACGTTCGATTTAGTATCTATATCACCACGCGACATATCCACTTATACATAACAGACACCGGAGACATTAGAGCAAGATAATTTGGATTTTAGGTGTCAAATCCGAGTAGAAAATGGCTGAGGGACGTAGTCACTGGGTGGAGCATCTTTTCCCTCCCACCTTTGGATACACGGCCGACCAGCTGCTTTCCACGGGAGGACCGACTTCTTCTCAGTCTGACACGGACTCCGGCACCAAACTGGGGTCTCCTCCTCCCACAGCGTTACGGCGTGTATACGAAAAGGTCCTGGAGGATTTCAGTGCAGAAATGAGGGGAAGGGAGACAACATCAACAGCAGAAACCCCGGAAGGTGAAGTCGCCGGGAGAGTGTCTAGGGTATCGTGGGGAGGGGGGCCAGACGAGTCCTGTATCTGGACACAACAGGAGCTAGAAACCTTACGAGAAGTCTTCCGGGCTGCCAAGGATCAGAACAGAAAGCTGACCACTATCTTAGACTTGGCAAACAAGCAGATCAAGACCTTGGAAAGTAAATGCAAAGAACAAGAGGAACAACTGGAAAAAAGGTACAAGCAACTAAAGGAGGCAAGGAAAGAAATACAGAGGCTGAAAATAAACTCTGATCAGCTGATCAGTGAAGTGACAAAAAGTCACAGGAAAATCACAAATCTGAGCGAAGATGTACAAGACTTACAAGCTGTTAGAGATGACCTACAGAGGCAACTAAACGAAACAACAATTGCTTATGAGAAAGAGAGATTAGCGAGGTGTGAACTGGAACAACGTCTTCAGACACAAGAACAACAAGTTGAAGATGTCAAGTTCAAGAGTGAGGAGGCTACGAGGCTTAAGTACGAGAGGGAAGTTCGAGAGTTGCAGCGGCGGGTTCTAGCACTACAGGAGGAACTGGACAGAGAGCAGCAAACTCATGGAATCAACCAGAAGGCACTGGACAATATGAGGAAACATTTTGCCAGCCTGCCAGACACTACAAATGATGAGAAGCCAGAAACTGAGGACCATTTCTTGTCGAAGCTCAGTTACTTCTGAGTTCTGACTTAAAATAATATACTGACATGTACATGGATCACTTTTAAGTACAGTAATAATGTGTAACATGCACTTAACAATTAACTCAAGTTGTAATTGTACAAAGTGTACTCATATTATGTCACAAACATAAATCTAAGTCTGGTGGAAGTTTATTGATCATCATGTTTCAAGAATTTCATACATTGCAGTCATATTCACCATAACTTAAGTTTCTTTAATTTATTTGGCTGACACCTGTCTCACATGCTGTACAAAATAGTGTCATTGTTGAGAAAGTGGAGTGGTTAGATCATGGAAGGAGCCCAATAGTACATGTAACATTACTGTCAAAGAGGCCAAAATACCTCGTCAAAGAGGCCAAAATACCTCAAACAAGTCCTGTACAAGAGTCAATTTTGTTTGGGGCAGCATCCACATCATGTTAGCATACATATAGAGATTAACCTGAATACAAGAATATCAGGAGCATGTTAAGTTTGCTTCAGTTCTTCATGTAAAAGTCAGTAGGTTCCTGGGGTTGTTAATGAGGATCTTGTCCACCTGTTCTTGTGAGATGCCTCTGGTCAGCATCTTGGGTACAACGTTGAGGAGAATGTGGGAATAACCATGGCCTCCATAGTGCATCTGAGGGAAAACACACATAAACAAGGGTGGTCATCAAAGATAAGATAGTGAGAGCAATGGTGAATGCTGTATGGGTAGGACCTTTCCCTCAATCCATGTCAGGCATGTTGTTGTTGTTTTACTTGATCATGATCATTGTTTATCTGGCCAGCAAGCAAGCTAAAAAGAAAGAAATTGAAAAAGATCAACCTGCAAAATGCTTAAAATTGGGAAATAGGGAAAAACAATATCTAGCAGTTTTTATAGCAACTTACAAGTCTATGTTTGTTTGCCAAGTCATGTGCGATCACCACGCGATCTTCACAGCCGTCCTGTATCACGTGTTTGACCATCTGGATACGCTGAGCATCGGTGGGCATGTCGAAGTCTAAGGCCAGCTGATAAAGTGACGTCTCGATCCCAAACAGGTCAAACTCCAGGTAACAGCCCAGGGTGGCAAACTCCGAGAGGTCCTCCTTCTTACTGAAAGTTCCTGAAAAATAAATGATTCCTCCAAGATGTACTCTCTCTAAGATACAGTAGTTTGGTCGTGATGTCTCAAGGATATTGACAATTCTTTGTTTTAGGATAACAAATCTACTCACACTCACTCTTTCCTGTCATGAAATCAAGTCCACCATGAAAGAAAAATGGATGTACTACAGTATGATGCAGAGTCAAATAGTTGGAAACTTACTGTCCAGATGGGACATGGCAGTCTTGCTGATGTCTCCTCCTGCCTCTGCCAGAATGCGGATGACCTCGGCTGGAGCCTGTTTATCCCGGCCGGGGTGGATGATGACTGCACAGCCCAGCTCACTCTGAGCTACAGCAGCTGCCTGGAGGGTCTTCTTCTCTGTAGCTACAGAAAGGAAGAAAGAAAGAAGGAAACCATTCAATAATACAGCACCGCAGCTGATTGGAGGGTCTTCTCTATAGCTACAGGAGAAAGAAAGAAAGGAGGAAACCATTTAAAAACAGCCCAGCTCACTCCCAAGTTTTCTTTCTGTAGCTACAGAAGGAAGAAAGAAGGAAATGGCTAACCCTTTGTCATGGCAATACAGGTACCCTCACCTGTTATCGGCCAGCATGTTCCTATCTCTCCAATTACCCCACACCTGACGTCTGTTCCATCAGCCCCCTGGGTGACGTCACGGACCATGGTAGACACCAGCTCCTCCTGACTTGCACTATGGACCTCTGGTGGGAGGGAGGACCCCACATAGTAGCCTGAAAAGGGACAGGAAAAGCTGTCATTCACAAAAGGCAAAGCATGATGCATCTTTAAGTAGCCAGTACTTGAGTGTACTGCAGCATGACTCGGGTATTCAGACAACCACACCAGGGCACCCCTAATGTTCTCAATAAGTGTGCTGGGTTCTTTGACGTGCAAAGGTTTGACACCTAAGGCTTTGCCTGAAGAAGGAAAACTGCTTTCACAGTGGACTTTGTGTTTCCATTGTAAAAATATTATTTTAGTAAAAGAGTTTATCTACTAATATTACTATGCTCTACTGCTGGGTGCTTTGGCCAAAGTTCGTGCTCTCTTTTTAATCTTTAATACCAGTTCCTGCAATGATGTTCACCCCAGATTCCTCTGACATCTTCTTGAACATGTGTACATCTCTCCTCAGGCCCAGAGTGGTACATTCCACAATGGAGCCGCCTCCACGTTGTTTAAAGAACTTCAGCTCTTCTATGATGTGGTGTTCCTCCCCGTACATAGTTGCATTCGCGTGGTAGCTCCAACTGATAAAAGATAAACTCTACATTAATAATTGAAAAAATTGACATAACATAAACATAACAAGATAAACATACTAATAAAAACATTTCTATAAGGTAATTCAATGTCAAGTAGTTAAACCATGGTGATGTATTATATTTTATTTTAAAAAAAAACAGTTACTCAAGCAACTGGATATGATTTTGGAATTGGCCAGAGGTTTGAGTAACTGTTTTTTTGGTGTATCTTATTACCTGGATGTCTAACCTTCACCGACATATTAGATGTATTACTTGTGAGTTGCGACAATTTTATTCCCAACATCGATCATATGTCGATGTGTGTTTCTAGATGTTTTCTCGAATCCCGTTGCATGATGGGAGACATGAAGCATTATGGGTAGCTCCACGTATAGGTCAATGTTTAACTCACGGGTATTGTCTGATGAAGCCCAGGTTGTCCATGGTGAAGGGCAGGTCGTTCATGTGAGGGAGGAAGGCAGGAGGGGGGATGTCTGCACGAATGGGTAACGTGTCGCACATCAGGTGTTCATGGGTCAGGGTACGGCCCAGGGCTGACGGGTCTATGGGACCTAGAACTGGATAGGTGAAAAAAATGGCTACATTTATTACTGTATTCAGACAACAACAAAAACGCTAAAAAAAAACAACGTATACTTTTTTGGGGGAAAAGTATAGCTTGTAAATGCGACCTACAACTGGGCAAATGAATGAAATGATTGAATGCATCACTTTAATATTGCGAACAATAAAAATGAAAGAACAACGCAAATGAAAAGCTAGAAAAAGAACGGCGTGTGTGTAAAGTTTTACTTCTTTTATAACCCTCAAATGTATTCCCAAACAGTCTGTGTTCAACACAAAGGTTACTGATTAAACACAAGCTGCCACGCCCCCTGTCAATTTCCAGCAAGCATCAAATAGAATAATAAAGACCATGGTCAAACTACAAAAATGTAGTATAGTGGAGACTGTGACTGAAAATATAGAGAATCCGGGGGAAGTTACTAGTACACCCAGTGTCTGGATGAAAGAGTTGATAGTATACAATTCAAAACTACGGTAGCTGGAACATTTTTGGGCCACAGGTCCAAAGGTCGGATATGCAGGTTTATGTGTTTGGCTACCGTACGTCTGCACCGTCAGCACTTCCTCCTTCATAAGTAAATGGAGACTGTACTTGTTGTGCGATACACCTCACCTGTTAGCACCTTCCCTTTCAAGTCAGCCGCCATGCTGCACCGGGTGGAACAGTCGAAGTAGTATTCTGTAGGGACCTCTTTTACCTTTCTCGAGTCAATGATCGTGTTGTCATTTGACTGGAGGCCACAACGTTTACCCCTGACCTATATACAACCTCTACGAAGGATGGCCTCTATGATAAGAGTTTCTCCTTGACAAATTTCCGATCTTCCTTCAAACCAAGTACATATTGGTATTTACTATTGCTAACACTGCATTGCAAACCGGATAGATTGTGACTACCTGTACTTTGCGGAACTTTATCTGCGAGGAGTAGAAGCTTGGACTATCGTATCTCAGGTCTTTCGTAATGGTTAGCATTGTGTTTTACTAGTCTATCATTTCAAAGCGTATTTATTTCTGATATCCAATCCATAATGGTCGTGCATTTTTGCCATGCAACACGAAGGCTGATTTTGAGACTGAAGAAAAGAGACGACTAGCGGAGTGTATGGGAAGTGCAGTTAGCGGAAGTTGACAGCCTTTTTCAACGCATCGAAACTGTAATGGTGACAAATAAAAGACATTGCTGTCACCACTTTCAATAACCCAATCCAAAGTATGAAAAGTTTGAATCAAATATAAACAATTATTTTGTAGTGAGTACAGCTTCTATATAAGAACTACGCAATTTAAAGATCTTTGAAAGCAAAACTTACCATCGTTTGTCTGCGGTGCAAAGGTCAAAGATTTGCCCGCGCTTTTCGGTTGCTTGTTCCTGGCCTACAAAATAAGTGTTTTTATCACGAGTTCACCGAAGTTTCGGTACATTGCAGTTATACAGGATGGTGCAAGAGTTTCACGTCATCCGCTGCTTTTCTTGTGAGACCTTCCAAGTCCACCAGGTTCGTTGAAAGAGAATTTGATGACGGAGTCTTGCGATAAAATGTACATGTATCATGTCGGAAGAGACATGTTTTCTAAGTCTTCTTTGTGTCTTTTCCACAGGTTAAAAAGAGTAACAAGTGGAACTGTAAGTTGTGTGGGGCAAAGCAGTCTATCAGAAAGGTAACGTTGCAGATTACCGTAACTATTACACAGAATATTATTTGAAGTACAAAATTGTCAACATCAGCTTTAGTCTACAACTACAAGGTTGCACTTTTATTTCATCCTGCTAGGTGGCGTACGTGATACATGAGCACCAGCCTTAGTGCACTTGTGTAGTGTTATAATGCCTTCTTGTTGAAACCGTGACGTTAAATGACATAAAACTATTAAGAAGAGGTACGAAGTGAGTCTGTCATTCTAAAAAGCAGCACAAACTCTAACATGCCATGAGTTGAATTTTGTTGTATTTTAACAATACATGTATTGTCCCTGTTTCATGCAATATAACAGTTAACACTAGAAAGGCCAATATTTGCTTTGGAGCAAATACAGCGATGGGTTCACCACATTTTACGACATGGCAGGGAAAGAATGGGAAACACAAGGGAAAACAATGATTTACATTGATATAACTATAATATGAAGTAAAATACAACTAAAACAACAGTTGGATAGCTATTCCCTACTTTATTGGTTAGGATTTTTAATTGCATAATGCAAACTGTTGATTTTCAAAATAAATAAAAAACGTCCATGCCCGGCATTCCAATGCTGGAGCAGGAAAGCTTGAAATACCTACCAAAACACTTGAATACAGACATACTGTCAGTATGGAAATGCTTCTGTGCAGGTGTTAATCAAGTTAAATCCCAACAGCCAATCAGCAAGAAGTATAGAGGAAAGCTGCATGCCTATTGGTTGATGCCCTGCATTCCATTCTGATGACTCATGCCCAAACGTGGTAAACAAGGCAGACTAACACAGTAATACATTTGCTATAACACAGCCAAAAAACTTAAATAAAACCATTCTAAAAGCCTGTATCACAATAATTTAAAAAACGCCTAGGGGTATTTGCCCACTGTACCTCCATACCAAATTTCAGGACCTTAGGCCCTAAAATGAAGAAGCTGAATCCATTTAAAGATATGGCAGGAGGAGGAGGAGAAGGAGGAGGAGGAGGAGAAGAAACATCAGAAAAAGCAATATGGTTTCACCACACCACTTCGTGGTGTGGTGAACCCATAATGAGTGAAGGATGGGGGTATCCTTTGACTATCATCACCTTGACAGTAACTTTACCTGTATGTTGACCAGGAGTATGGGCGTGGTTCTGGGGCAGACTGTAGGAGACATGTGCAGAAACTGAACATGATGAGAGCCACTCTGGACACTGCACCACCTGCAAGTGATGACCAGGAGGTTTCACAACAGGAATGGCAGGAACGCACAGAAGATTCTCCAGATCCACAGGTACACATGTATTATATCTTACCAGTCATGCCAGTACACCTTTGCCAAGAGGGTTATGTATTCAAGTTAATCTCTATATGGCCACAGCAAGTAATTCTTATGGATGACATCAGCGTATGCATCAATTTTCGCCTGATTTTGGAAAAAAAAAGTTGTTCTCTGACAGTAGTCAATATGCAGAAAATGGGCAAAGATGTCTGTTGCCATGCTGGAACGTGGATGGCAGATAGATATGAAGAAAGGAGACAAGACAAGGCTCTGATTTAATGTTTTTTTTTGTACTGACAGTATGACTACACTGAAGATTGTCAGAAGCCCAGTAAGTGGGAGAAGTTTACAGCGTCTACAGACAAGACTGATGACAATCAAGACCCTTCTGACTCTGAAGACCCCCAGTTCACAACTGACAAGAACAGATTCCAACAGAGGAAGAGGAAAGGAAAAGGACAAAGGTATGCATATGATAATGTAGTCTTCTGCAACCAAGAATGCCATTTTTGTTCTACATTTTGAAAGGGAAGACTACTAGTAGCTTTGTACACAAAAATGTAGTCTTATTACCTCCATGAAAAATGGAGGTATTGTTTTTGGCGTGTCTGTCTGTATGTCTGTCTGTCTGTGTGTCTGTGTGTCTGTGTGTGTGTCTGTCTGTGTGTGTTTCCGCAACTTTGTGGTCAGCATAACTTCAGAACGCCTTTATGGATTGCGATGATATTTGGTGTGCTGGTAAGTCTTGGAAATACAAAGGTCAAGGTCAAATATGGGCCTCCTGGTGGATGACCTTGGTACTGCAGCAGAACTTCCGGTTTTTGTATCTTTTGTCCTGAACAAGCTATGGTCTTGATGTTTTGGTGATAGATAGCTTATCCTGTCAGGAATAAGTGGTGTGAGTTTGGTCCCCCTAGCAGCTTGTTCTGGAACTGCAGGGCACTTTCTGGCGAAATGTTTAAAAGCCAATAAGTCCAGATAGGAACAACATATTTTCATAATTTTTGGTGTGTAGGTAGCTGAGAGAGAGATGTACATGATTAAATGCAAATTATGCAAATGAGGACTTTATTTGCATAATTAATGCGGAAATTCTATAATTACAGTGTTTTGCATCATACTACTTTCATACATGAAATGTATGTAACCTATGGCAGGCAGATACTAATTATGCAAATGATGACCTAATTTGCATAATTTATGCAAAAATTCTATGATTTCTTAATGGTGAATGATGGGAATGTCATACTTGGGACATCTGTAACTTAATCAAAAGTTAACATACATCATGATGCATATATCATGTTAATGCAGAGGTAATTTGCATGATTAAAGAAGAAATTTACATTTACATATCAAGCCCATATTTCATGGAGGTATGAGATCTCGGAATTCTTGTTTACCATTGCAGTTCACTTTGGAGTGTTTTGCCCTCTGTTCTCAATTGAACTTGCATTTTTATATACTTTTGTCATCTAAATTAATTGCATATTACCTCTTGCTTTTCCTTGTGAACAGTTCGCAGTCTTATGACAGACCAGGCAAAAGACAGCGCTGCCAGGTATGTTTTCCCCGTTGATAATTCTTGCAGGTAGAGTTACCTAAATACTAGCTCCTCTTCCAGAATGATAATGTAATGTTTTGTCAAGAGAGCTTTGACCATGCTTTGTTGCCATGTTGCCATAGATACCAAGAAATTTGATAATGTAACACAAATGATGTTCAAAATATTCATCTAAGTATTTGTTTTCATTATCTAAGGTGTTAGTTAGCATCGTAATGTAAACAATTACTAGTACAAGGTGATGTTTTTTGTTTGTTTTTAGGGTGCAGTACCAGATGTACCTGCCAGGCCATCAGTTGTCCAGACATGTGCTACAGACTGGCAGCTTCCTACAGCTGAACAAGAGAATTCTCCAACGTTTCATGACCAAAGAGGTTATTCTAATATCAACACTTCACACAACTTGTGGTACAGACGTCAACATCATGAAAACAACATAGGGGGAAACACAGAACCTCAACCTACAGCAGTACACACAACATGGCAACAAAAGTTACATGCAACAAACTTGACACGCAAAATTCAAAATCAGGATTTCACAGAAGGAAACACAGAACGTGAGAGTACAGCCCAACCAAGGTGGCAACACTCACATACAACAAACATGACACACTCCAAAGTTGCACTGTCGGAAACCTCGAAAATAAAACATGAAGAAAGAGAGGAAGTGAAGTTTAGGAATAAAGAGAGTTGGAAAGACCTAGACAAAAATAATGACGACAGAAGTGTAGACAGACAAATGCCTAACCTGGCTATTAAAGAGCAGAAGGGTCAAAGGTCATTGACCTCTAATTTTGGGTCAAGTTCACGATGGAGCAGGTTCACCAGTAAGGCTGTAGATGATGATGATGATGATGACGAGGCTCAACAGGTACATGTAGAAAGCTACGGTAGTAACCAACCAAATGATAGCAGCAGCTCCAAATGTGATATTTTGAGTGCACAATTTACTGCAAATGAAGGTAATGTAGAACAAGATAGTAGTTTGAAAGAGGTGTTGAGTTATTATAGTGATGATCCCGCCATTGAAACATGCCATCACCCAATGATGGTAAAGCCCTGCAGTGACCCACAGGGTGATGTGAAGACCAGGATGACTGGTGATGTACAGACCTGTGGAGTGTCTGAGCTGAGAACAGGGTTCTGTACAGGGGAGGACCTGGATCAGGTACTGGGGGAGGACATTTGGGACGTGTGATATAAGGAATTATATCATACCCGGGCCGCGATAACGGTCGATAACAGGTTCCGGACCGGGCCGTACTTTACGGTACGGCCCGGAACCTGTTATCGAACGCTTCCATGGCTTCCATAAAACGATTTGAACGCGTTTCGCCCTACCCGCTTGTGCCCCTTTCGAAAATTTGAATACAGAATCCGGACGTTGGAATTGATGTTGCATTTTAGGGTTTAGTGGCACCAATTTTTGGCTCATCTTGCATTGAAAGGCGTGTTTTCTTGGGTGGGTATGATAAAAATAAAATACAACACGGTGTATTCTGCATCGCCCTCGGTCCCGGCCCTCCCGCGAGTCGGATCGCCCGGAGGTGATACGGAATACCCCGTGTTGTATTCTATATGTATCTGGTACATGTAGATCTGATGATAAATAGACGATGTATAGCAAATAATGGAAATTTTGTATCTGAAGGCAAGTAGTCATTTCTGAACTTGATATTGTTAAATAAAATGTCACATTATCTAGGTTGCGTTTGAAGTTAGAATTTTTGCTCCAACACAAAGGTAAATGTTCTCACCATGAGCTTTCGACCAGTCACTCTCGTCTTCCTCAGTACACTGACCCAGTGAGGCTTGTCATGTGACTTCTCTGAAGTGTGACGTCAACACTAGGTGTGTATGCACTCGAGTTATCTAACACTACATGCTGTAGAGTGTGATTTACCTAACACTAGATGATAAAGTGTATGTTAGATTTACCTACAATGTAAAACAAGATGAGAGAGTATGTATGCTAGATTTACATATTAGTAATACTAAAAGTGTGTGTATATTTTGTATGCTAGAGTTCCTAATACTAGATGCTGTTGAGAGTGTGTGCAAGATTTACCTAAAACTATATATTTGAGACACCGTGTGTGCAAGATTCACCTACAGTAGGCTCAAAACACACAAGAGAAATTTCAAACACCAGTTCCGTCATATCAAAATATAGCAATTTTTTATTCCAGACTGGGTTTAAATCACGAAAGCTACAGGTTCAGAGGTAGGATTCTTCGGTCAGAAAGTACGCTGAATTAGACACTGCACAGGCTAGCAACTCAGAGGCAAAAAGCACCTTGTGTCAATCTAACAACCAGGGTTAGGACTCCACACTGTAAGCTGAGCTGAAACATAACACAGCTTTTCTTCCCATAAAAAAACATTTGGATCTGAAAAGTGCATTTTTGCACTATTCTTTAATCAATCACTGAAGCAAACAATCCAAAGGGGAAATTTTTGGATGGCAATAATAAGCATGATTTATACAATCAAACATCTTTAATTCAACCAGAATTGCTTAAAAAAATCTCAAACTATTTTGTGTCTTCAGATTCACCAAATCATTGAATCGTTTCAAGAAAAAATTTGGTAAACTAAGACGATTAGTTAGTTGTAAGAGATTTCTTCTTGAGTGAATTTTAGTTTCAGCTCAGGTTCCAGAACTGGTTCAGGCAACATTCTTATCCCCACATACATCCTGACTGTGACAGCTTTTTATGTACAGCAGCACACTTACAGCAGAACAACTACACAATAGTGTCATCTGAACAAAACTGCTTTTCAGAGGTGCTGCTCAAAAACATGTAATAGTGTCTAAAGAGAGAGAATGTATGCCGTACACCCAAGTTGGTTTTGAAAAACTCATCCAAACGTTGTACAAAACGATGAGCTTTTTATGACCAAAGAGCTTAAGTTTGATAAACTTTAGCTCAGTCTTTTAGTTACAATTTGAACTTGGCCTTTTCCTGATAGAAAAAAACAACAACGATGTCTTGTCAAACAAATTTTCCAACATGTAGAGTGGTAAATCAAATTTTCAAAAACAACTTGGGTGTGCAACAAAAGCATGAAACTGTGGATTCTGAATGTGAAGCGCTGTCAGCATATGTCTTTCTAGTGGCAATGTCACGGGGGAGGGGGCAGCGTGGCATGTCAGCATGAAGTTGAAGAAAATCAGCAGCGAATTTGCAGCAAAGAGACAAGAAAATTACCACGTGACATGATAATACATTGATAACACTGGACCAACCAGCTATGGACACAACGCTTGCAAGCTACCTACCAAAAATAGCAATCCCAATATTACAGTGACGTCTCTGGACATTAAAAAATCTAACAGTGCATCTTCTTTGTACAATTCTTTTGAAATATAATCAGTACATATCTAGGGACTATCATACAGGAACAATTTTGTACATACCAACGTTACCAGACAATCATAGATACAAATTGTTTGAAGATCAAGTCCTGTGATCAACCATACAGCACAGGATACGTCTGAGTGGAGGGAATTGGGCAGGGTTTTAAGTTTTGACTTCCTTCAACGTAAAAGTCACAGGCAAGGAAACATGTCACGTACACAACCAAGCTGCCAAGTTCAATCTAACCCTTGGGGGGCCAATTTCTAAATTTAAAACTGTGGCACTTAAACACCTGCAGGAAAGCAGTGGGACGAACAAAACAGACATGGTAGTTACTAAAAGCTGAGAAAACTTGCACGTTTGGCCACAATATACGAAAGTAGTCACCATGTTGTGATTCTATTACCGGTAACGAAAACCCGAAACCAACAGGGCTGGTTATGCCTTATGGCAAAAAATTACAGTTGATATACTAAAAAAAGGTGCCTGCTTCTTTTGTGATGGACCCTTGCTTGGTTGATATATCCCCATAGATACACACAACAGTGACTGTACTCATCATACCGAATTTATCAAAATCCTCTGTCAGTAGAAAATGTCTGTGCTACAGATGTAAAGAGATAGATACAAACGTGTTGGACACCTTGATTCCATGTACCTTAATACAAAGTTTTTTTTTCTCTTCTGCTAAGGGTACAAATTTGACATGGCAGTTACACGCGACTGAGTGAGCAGCAGAAAAATCACAGTCCTCCAGCAATGAATCTTGGGACGCAACCTCACAGCAATGCATTCTGGGACTTGACCTCACAGCGATGCATCCTGGGACTTGACCCCACAGCAATGCATCTTGGGACACAAATTCCTTACGTTGCAACATACGTGTGCTTTAAATTGGTTGCCCCCACAGGCCTTTGAAAAAGAAAACATCACCACTTCTTGAATTGAGGCTCATCTGCTCTTTTCCAGCCTTGGGAATCGAACCCATGCCCTGAGGTTTTCCTTCCGAGTGGTTCTTGCACACCTCTCATTTCTTCTCAGAGGAGATGATGGGTTGGTAGAACCTTACCTTTGACCAACTACCTGTGACCTTACGCCAACTTGAAAAAATCGAACTGTCAGTTTTGCCTCTCGGGATCAGGTGGGGAGCGGGGCATTGCTCTTTTCAAAACACCCGTCTAGCTCTTTTTCAAATTTTTTTTCAGCATCTTTCACCCTTTTTCGCTCTACTGGACATTTTACACAATACCCTGATGACTGGATCTATTTACAGTTTTGGTTTGTCACTAAAGATCTCTGTCAAAGAGCCAAAACAGTAAAATAAGGGACCACAAGAGCTCCTACCCCTGGACCCCTCCATAACCCTGGGCAGTGATTGGTGCTTACAGCGTCTTTTAGTTTTACCTTCCGAAAACAACAGCAAAGCCGAACCAAATCAACACACGTCCTTTCAGTTTAACCTACAAACAAGAACATCAACAGACAAAAATATACAGGGGCGCAACACCAGAATTAATATACAACAGGGGGAAATCATCCTTACTTCACGATTCAATAATAAGTATACTCATTTGTGTGGTGCTTTGGCAGGAGTTAATAAGGATAATACTAGAAACAACACTGAATCATACACTTTTAACATACACGTAGGAAAAATGTGCTAGGCTGGGCTGTATAAAACATCAGTCGCTTCAGGGGGTGCTTTCGTTTGTGGTACAATCAAAGGTTGACTTCAAATCACAACGTCTCTCACGGTGCACACGTTTTTTTTCTGCGGGATACGAGGTATCCGAATTTGCTAAGTTTCCTCCAACGTGAAGGAAATGTCCACCTCCTTCCCAATGTCCGTCTAGAGAAGACTTGGGTCGTCCTGTGCTGGCGATCCTCACGACCTTCAGGTGTCCTTCAGGAATTCCTTGGTTCTCTCCTCGCTGTCAGTTTCAAAAACTGTTCGCTGTGCCGACACCCACTCGTGATCCTGAACAGTCTGGTTTCCAATTGGTCACGTTGTGCTCCGAAGAGACTCAGAGTCATCGCTGGCGGCGCCAAACTTTGAAGAGTTCTACAAACACGATATTGTTCATTCTCTGTACAATGTGTGTGTGTCTCCCTCCTTACTTCAACGTTCTTAAGTCCAACACGCAGACCTGGAACGGAAAGAAAAAGTTGTTAAGTTAACATCAGCATTACACTTACCCTCAATAATTGTACCTTGTACAATCAATCATTAGTAAACAGCAAACAAACATGTGTGCACTTAAAGTTTAGAAAACAAACTTGGCCTTGGGGTTTGACCACCCCCAGAGTTCATACCCTGCCCCTTGTAAAAATCCCTGACCCGACATATAGTTCAGGCCTTCCTATTGTGCCAACAATTGCATTTTCCGTAATCAGTTTCCTAATGTTGTAATTCCTGTGGTTTTATGGCGCATCCGCCGACTGTTTCTGTTTTTACGACCCCAATATGACGCCCTGATTCTGTACCATAAAAGTCAACAATTGACCATTAGGGCCCGAAGAGTGCTCTTTTATGTTATATTCTGAGCACTGAAAGGTTTTACATTTGTCGGTAAGTGCCAGAGCCAATCTCGGTGCACCATCCCTGCTCCCTCAATTATGAGTTTGGCCGAAATTTTCATTGATCTGTGCGAAAAACAGCCCATGAAGGAGGCAGGGTATTGCCGTGTCCTGTCGACATTTCATTTCCGTTCCTGCCTTTATTTAGATGCCCAGTGAAGTGAGACTATTTTCTATCAGCTTCCTGTTGTTTCTGACAGTCTTAATACCTAGCCAGGACCAACTCTTCCTCCTTCTACTAGTAACTGGTAGTGCAGTTCTGAGAGAGTCATCAAAAGTTTCCAGTATTCCTTGCAAAATGACCACAAACACTTCTTTATTGCCTCCAACACTATACCCTTGGCTAGATGATTCCCAGCTCTGAGGCCCAACCAAACGGCTACCTTAGCAGGATGAAGGTAAAACATTTATGACTTCAAGGCATCTTTGCCTCCAGGGACACCCCTAAAGGTTGCTCCAACTCGCGAGGGAAGACTCCAACAGAAATTGTAATAACCCGTGCAACGATACATATCCCAGCAGACAGCAAAGGTTGGAGACATGAAATGTGAGGACGTCACCCAAACAGTCACCCGGCAGGGTTTGGCCTTTAGAGGGATGTCTGCAGAAATGAACCTTGCAACTCGAATCACCGCCCTGGGACCACACGACCTACTTCTGTATGACTTGTGCGTTCTCCTGCATTTGCTGAAGTTTCCAAAATGTTTGGAAAGGGTTTACTTATTTCAAGATACCAAAAAGTGGGGAAAGCATTCAATTCTAATTCAGTATCTAATTTTTCTGTTTTCCAGAGAAACAATATACTGTAGTCAGACAAGTGCCTAGAATCACTTTTAAATCGTGGGGAAAATTTATAGGAAAATTTCCAAAGCAGTCTCTGGCCCTAGTTAACAGAAGGCACAATCTAAAACTAATTTGATTGATTGATTGATTGATTGATTGGATCAAGATTGATTTCAATGTTAAAAGAATAATTTCTTGCTTTGTGACTTCCATCACCTTTCCATGTCACACACTGATGCTTCCAGAGACACAACAGAAGGCGTGACCCAATTCCACTCAAGTCAGGTGATTCCTCATATTTCATTCACCACGTTTCCTGACAATATTCGGATGGAGCCTCATAGTGACATAAAATACTTCTACATAAAGGGACATAACTGTATTTGAATGCTGAAATCCCATTTTGGCTTTGTAATATCAGGACCCAATATACCATCTAGGTTACATGTCAGGTAAATTTGGAGTGTGGAGAATCTGTGGAAAACATAATTATTGTTTTTGCTATGTTTCCTCTTCTTCTCCAAACCAGAAAGGTCATTGACCTGAACCAGACTGTCTGTTACCATGGTAACTAGTCTTGGGTTACATCATGTTGCAATTTTATAGCAGGAGGGATTTAGACTCCTGTCTGAATGTGTTTGAGTAAGAATTCACAGAGCAGACCATATGCGAAGGTAAACATTATGCATTTGCTTTACAAATGTTACCTTTCTAGTCAAAGATTTGATCCATTGTTTCTTAAAAATCTCCCTTTTCTAGCATAGCAGTACAGGTGTGATTTGTCTGGTGCAGGTAACATTGAATGTACAGGAAAATGTGTTTTTCCAGCCCTATTATACGTGTGTAACTGAAGCAGTACTTACTGATCCATCTGACGCGCTGGCCCCCACCCTGTCTCCTGTAGAGTTCCAACACACTTCGAAGATGCCCCCTGTCCCCCGGTAGCTATGTACAAGCTGCCCACTCTGTCAAACAAAACAAAACAAACAACATCCAGGTTAAACTTGAAGTTAACATCATGGCCAAACTTTTTAGTGTTTAACCTAGTTTATGGTGTGGTGCATTGTGGGTAAAATATGAAAGCAGCTCTTCTGTATATTACCCACAATACATCACACTGGACTTGCGCAAGAAAGAAAATGTCAGAAGAAGATATCAGACATTAAACGCACACACATGAAAAGATGAGAACATCATTTACATTCACCAATTAGCCGGCCATTTTAGAAAGATACTGCAAATGTAGGGTGCTAATAGATTATCAATTAAATGGAATTTTCAAGCAGTGAGGATAATATTGAACGAAAGCTCTTGAACATTAATATTACATATAACAGCTAAAGTAAGGATCTTTTGATTGCAGTTTTAAATTCGTAGTAAACGCAAACATGTATTTCCAAGTTCCATGTCACCAGGTGTTTACAAGCTATTCCATGGCTGCACAAGTTTCCAAATCAATCCCTGGTCCTGACAGGTTGGATAAGAACCAAGGACAGGAGCATTAACAGAAGAAACCACCCTTAACCACAGGAAATCTTCTAAGGCCTAGGAAAAAAACTGTTGTGTTTCCTGTTTCAGTCCTGAAAAAATTATGGTCCGTAGATACGGATTATCTCTTCTTTTTTTATTTTTTAGACTTCAGTGATATCTATATAGGGGTCTAACTTACATAATATAGTTTAACAAAGTAAAACTTGCATGAGGACACTTTTATTTTCAGTGTCAATGTTTCGTCACTCAGGTGTCAGATCATGGAGTTAGAAAACGTCAATCACCTCGAAAATTCATGTCCCTTGCAGGGGCCACTCACAAAAAAGGCTGGGGCTGGCAGTTTTTTTGGGAAACATGAAACACAACATTTTTTCTTAGGCCTCATCCACCCCTGCAAAAATGGAGGAGAATCCCCGCCCAGGGCCAAGGACTATGGCTGGAGCCTGGCAGCTTCCCTACCCCTGATAGAGGCAGGCTGCAGATTTCATCACTGACCCATTTGGACCCTTCATGGTACGCTACACCAACTAAGCCCCTATTAACTCTGCCTCACTGCCCACAAAACCCACCCTGATATCCATAAATATTTAACACTTAGCATCCAAGGACAAGGAAAACCGCTAAGGGAGAGTTCTACTGGTTTTCAGTGCACTGTATGTTTGTATTGTTGCACAAGTAACCCATCACCATAGCTGTACTGTTGTTTTTTTCTGATTCATCATGATCAACAAAAGAATTGCCCTAGAAATACAGTAGATCGTACTTGTTGATAAACTGATAGAATTCAGCCATTAAACTTCAACATTGGGGCACCTTTGAAGTTGCAAAACCTGGAATCACCAGCCAAACATAAAATCTGCGACAGGATTTGGAGACGCAAAAGTCAGTTGGTTTGGATTAGGACTTCTTATGAGATGTTACCTTTGTTTATTGAATTGTTGTTAGTATTACTTCAAATTGTGGCTCAGGGATACTTGACAAACAAAACCTGAGTGACCCCCTGGTTAGATAATACATAGAAATGAATCAACCAATCAGAGAACACCTCACATGCCTGTGTATTGTATATAGAAGTGAACTGACCAATCAGAGAACACCATACGTACCTGTGTATTCCATATATGGACACATTTGTCGAAGGACCCGCTGGCGAGGTACTTGCCGTCGGGACTGAAGGCGACACTGTAGACGGGTTCTTGGTGCTTGGTGAGCGTGTGGATGCACACCCCTCTTTCTACGTCCCATAACCTCACAGTCGAGTCAAATGACGCGCTGGAATAAACCAGGAACCATGGGTCATAAGGACATCAGGAAAAACTGAGAGTGCTGGGGAATTGTAGTAGCAAGACGCCCTCTTACATTCATCATTCAGTGATGAAGGATGTCAGAAGAACACCCGAAACATTTGCTTATTAAAACTTTTATCCAGTTTGAAAAGTATGAAAATTACTATCTTTCAATACTTGCGAAAATAAGACTCCCGTTTGTTCAAATAAAGTTATGGCATGGCCATAATTGTTGTGGATTATCATACAATTCTGATGTTGCATGATGTTTGGGCAGCTGACTAAACCACCTTGAAGGAACTAAGGCAAACTTTTCCGTGACAGAATAATCTGGCAGGACACAAGCAAGAATCCCCTCAGTTTGTGAGCGTACAACAATCAGACAACTCTCTTCATCTCTTCAGTCAGAAGTGTAATGAAGATTACCACCCCATCATGTATCTGCTTGGATATTGCAAGTTTCAGGTCATTTGGCCCCAAAAGTTGAATCCATTTAACGACAATGGTACTTAACACAAAGACTGACGCTTTTCCGATAGCTGATGGTACAATGCACTTTGGTCGTCTTACCTGGCTAACATGAGCTGTGCATTGGGGTTGTTGGTACCAGGACCTGTAGGACTCCACTTGATTGTGTAGATCTCCTTCGTGTGTGCCTGGAGGTCATGCACGCAACTGTCCTGTTTCATACTCCAGATCTGGGGACACAAAAATGGTTCAAGTGTACATGAGTGTGTCTGTGAGTGCATGTGTCTGTGAGTGTGTATAGTGAGTGACTTGTGAATAATAAAACTCAGGAAGTTGAGGATTCATTATCAATGATGTTTCCTGTGTGTGTACATGCGTATGTGCATGCGTGCGTGTGTGAAAAGATGTCAAAGCAAGACCACACTCTGACTGTTTGTTGTCACCCGTACCTTGAGTGTCATGTCGTCTGAACAGGAGGCCAGCAACGTTCCTGAAGGATCCCATTTGATGGCATTCACCTCGTTCTAGAGCAGACAAATTAACAAAATCAAGGTCACATAACTGTCCTCATTCAAACAACAGCAGCAAAATTATCAATGACAGCTTCAGATTGTTCGAACCTTTTATAATCGATCATATTTATCGAAAACATCAGCTTGTGAAATGTACACATGAACACAGCGATAACAATGTTAGAAATACCCATCTGCAGTCTGCATTTTGCAGAGACATTTTCAATATAGCAAGATGAAAAATTAAGCAACCTGCAATTTTGCAGACTGAAAAAAATCAGGCTAGTGGTTCAATGGTGTTTAAGTGATTTTATGTTTACTACTGACTATAATATTCACTCACTTGCATGTTTCAACTTGCAGGTAGAATGTTTGCCAACATGCAGTTTTGTGTATGCCATGGGTTTAGATCCGGACTTTCAAGCATGTGTTTGCAGCAAGTATTTCCGAATTGCGGAGCAAAATTTTGACATTCTGCTATATTGCATAACACTGAAAAAAAGTATTTCTACCACTTCAGTAATGTCAATTGAAAAAAGAAAAAAGATAACTACAATTCTCTTTCTGCCTTCCTACTGCATATCATCAAAAACCATCCCCCAGATTTATGTTGTGCTTAAAACGAGATCAGTATGACTGATAAAGCTGATACCTGGCTATCACTGCATCACACACTGGGATCGTATCTTGCTACCAAATGGAACATATGTCACTAGAGAACCCCAGATAGATACTTGGGAGCCGGCACACTTGATCAAAGTTAGATACAGAGTATCGTGTAACACCCATCATCATTTGCGGAGCCCTTCTCCTGAAGCCATGATAAGAACTAATGGTAATGGCCTCCAAAGATGTATGGGCCACAAGGGTGACCGGCAAAAGTTCTACTATAAACCTTGAAATGTTCAAGAGGTGCGTTTTTCTTCAGAGTTTTCGCACTGCAAGTTCATGACACCGCGAGTATGCACTTCTGACTTTACCACAGAAGTTAAAACACCACAAAAACTTTCTTTGCCTCCAACCTCTCTACTGAAGAATTGTGTTACTATGACAATATGCTTGCCCACTGTGCCTTTATGGAACTGGCTACAACTATAGTTTATTCTTTACTTCAGTTATATGAACCTATGAAACAATATATATTAAAATAATAGACTTAAAAATGAACACAGAAAGGACATACAGCAATAAAACCGACGACCTAGCTGCATAATAACCCAATTTAGAATCACAAGGTTGGGGGTTTGAATCCTAGCCTCCATAGCATGCCAAAAACTGGGGGTTTGGGGGGTCTTGTGTAAGTTCATCATCATGTGTAAGTTGGGAGCTTTTTAATATGTGCTATTTTCTGATTGCATAAAGACAACATAGCGGGCATGATTGAATTACCCCCGTAACTGGGCTAATCAGAAAACAGTCGAAGACCACCAAACCCCCAGTTCTATAAGCCTGCTACGGAGGCTATTTGAATCCCAGTCTTACCGAATGCCCCTGGAATGTCTTGATGGGTTTGTCCACGCCGAGTTTGCAGACATGGATGCACATGTCCGTGGAGCAGGACGCGAAGCTGGTGTTGGTCTGCCAGTCCACGTCCAGGGCTGGCGCCGAGTGGAACGGGAACTGCTGCTTTGCTTCCCCTGAGTGAGCGTCCCAGATTATTGTGGTCTGCAGGAAAACAAGAAACCGTATTCATATCACCTTCTCATCCGTGTTTTCCGGTCTGTAACACAATGTAGTAATTTTCTTTGTCATTCTGAACTGATTTGTTAAAGCATCTATTTGTATTACTATTAGTTTGCAATATCTGTTTTCTCTTATTTTCTTTTTTAATATAATTATTTGTTAAGTTTAAAGGAGGCTGGCTCAATATAAGCCAACTAGGCTTCCTACCCCCTCCTGCACACTGTCTGTTTTCCCTTTTATTCATTATCTGTATAATATGTGCGAATGGATAGAAACAAACAAAAATGTAGTACATGTTCATGTACTTTGATGAAGGTAAGACATCCAGGTAGAACAAGATAAATCAATTCATTATCAGTCACTGAGAAAAGATAATGGATGCTCTGGATAATCTGACTGAAACATCTGACTGAAACAGACTCTTTAAGATAACTTTTCTACTTGGTTCATTTCATTTTGTATTGCATATTAGAGAGAGAAGAGAGAGGGATTAGAGAGAGAGAGAATTAACATTGTGCTGTTCATACCACATCCCAAACTACCAATATAAAGATTGAATTGCACATGACACAAAAAGTATAAGATATACATTAAGTATAGTCCAGCTTACCTTATCTACACCTGCGCTAAGTAGGTAATTTCCTTTTTTATTCCACTTCAGCGCAAATATGGGCCCTTTGTGCTGGCCTAACGTTGTGACCAACCGACCTGGAGAACAACACGAAAAGGTTCAGCTATGAAATAATGTAAATAGATAAAATAAATAAGTGGGGATATGTGGAACAGAAGTATTTCATAGACTTTCTGCAACCTATGATCCACTGCTCATGAGTCACGTGTGTTATCTGCGTGACGTCACGGAAGCGGCGGATTGCTCATTCCTTGACAAAGACTGGAGTTGTACAGTTGAAAATTTCTTGAGTCCAATTTCTTGCAATTGCAGTTCAAACTTGTTTCATAATGACTTCTACCAACACAGACAAACTTTCAAGATAAAATTTATTTTGCTGTGGCCTAACATGACACTATACTCACCGTCTGTGGACCAAATTCTTGCGAACCCATCGTACGACCCTGTTGCTAGGAGCGACCCCTCTGACTGTAAAAGAAACAAACAAACAAAGCCATGTTTTCAGGGAAGGGATACTCAAAACACATGTGGTAAAAAACAAACAGGAAACAAAGACAAACATACACGTACACAGAACTACACACACGACACTGAGAAGTAGGTAGGTAGGGGGTCTTTAGTTGTTCTGGGGGAGAACTTAAAGCTACCTACTGATCTTTGAGTGCATTGAAGAAAAAAAGAGGTAGAGGTGAAAATATTGTAATTTGATCAGGAGAAAACAGGAATTATAGTGAAACCTGGCCATCTTTGTTCTTGACTCTAGACTGTACAGAAATAGAGTGTTCAAAGTAAAGGTACCTCAAAGATGTCCAAACAAGCTACAATTTTGTTTCTATTCCTGAACATACGTGTATTGCCTTTATTTCAGTCAAGAATTTCTTCCCAAAAGACAAATGTGAAAAAAATGTACCCAAGAAATTTGAGGATAATCTATCGGGGATCTTTACAAAATAGATGGCATCTGGTTTCCTTACAAAGCTATCACCATGCTTGAAATGGTAGAAAATTGGTCTCTATGCAGTGACACTAGTGTCCGGGAATTCCAACTACCTTTAGTTTCAACCTTCTCCCTGCTGCCTAAACCCGGTAACCAAGACAAGGTAGGTGCCAAATGGCTACCATAGCAGGCCAAAGGTTTGAGATCACCAAATGTTTGTAGGCCTTGCCACTGTCTTCACACATGCAACAGGGCTCGAAATTAACATTGTCCCAGTGTCAAATGACACTAAATTTTCAGCTTGGGACAATTCAAATTACGTTTCGGGACAATTTTGGGGCAATTGGAAAATTCTAAGACCATCCACGTCATTTGGGAACGCGATCCATCCATCCTGCTGCAGACTGCTGGCAGCCTATAAATATATAATACTCTGACAAACATTTAAATTTGACCAGTCAGGGATTCCAAATATCAGGGACGGTGCCATGCCCATGATATTATCATGTATTTCCCTACATTTACTAATAAAGTGGACTTCAAGTTGTACAAATTCAGTTGTTGTTTTCTTATTTTTGTCATCAACTTATTTTCTGAAAAGCAGGCTGGGACAGTCCATCTTCAGTTCGGGACAATTGAAATCTATGTTCGGGACAATTCTGGGACAATAGTGAAAAAAGTTAATTTCGAGGCCTGATGCAAACTCTACCAAAGACAGTGGGGACGTCTGTTTTCGTTTCTCTCTAGTAAGTAGATAGAATAAGCCATCTTAGACAGCAGTGAAAGAGAAAGCAGTGTAGGTTTTGTCCTCATCTGCACTGGAACAGAAATCCCTTTTCAAAAAGAGACTGTCGGCCTTTTTCAAGGTCACCCCGTGGCAAGGTGACCCTTTTTCCAGAGGCACCGAGCCTGTATCTCGGCGGCGAGCGGACCTGATGGCCGCCACATCAAAAAGAAGAAGAGACATGCTCGGCCAGATCATGTCGATTCGAGTACGGGTAAAGCGTGGACACGAGGTACTCACGTTCCAATCTAGGGACGTGACATCTTTGTTGGACGGTACTTCTTGGTCGCCTTCCCATGGCTGGGACTTGACCTTCAACGAAGCAAACGCCGCATTTCAGTGTCTCTACGATTCTTACAATACAGTGAAACCTGTCCATTTAGACCACCTCAGCAAGAGATTTTTTCCAAGGAGAGTTTGAGCACACATGGCTGCTTTTTTTTTAATTTTAATTGTCAGAAATTTCACAATTAGTGTGAGGAAATGGAGAAAGAGAGAACCTTCTGCTTGCCTCCAGAACTGTGCCGTTGAGAGGGGAGTAAAGGGGGCACCCTTCTTTTTTAACAAAGCTTACATCAGTGTTAATTTTGCAGGAGCGAGAATAGATGGAACAGAGATCACAAAGATAGGTTTCACAATGGAAACACAGCAGCAATGTCTTGCGAGACGTCAGACAGGCATTAATACCGTACACATGAATGACACGGGATACGCAAACACCGTGGACAAAGAACACACATGTGAAGCCGATGTAAAGAGGGGTTAGGCACCACGGAACGTGGCAGACTTTGGTTTTAATTTGCAGGTTTTAGTAGTAAGAGCGGGCAAAAAAACACCAGTGACTCTTGGCTGGTGGCTTGAACGAATGGGTGGGAGTAAATTGGTGGTCTTTACACAGGATTCACTGTATTTGGATCAAACATGCGCTGTGACGAGTCAGTTTCTGAGGGACACTCACATTCCAGTCGAGCGACGTGACGTCCTTGTTGGAGGGAACCTCCTGCCCGCCCTCCCGTATACAGTGCCGGAGAACCAGCTGGTTGGCACTGTTGTTATTTGCTGTCAAGTTCCATATCCTTGCTGTGGAGTCACCAGACCTGTGGGGCAGATGGAAGGGGGAGGGGGGGCACACAATTTAGCTGCTAAACAGTATAGATTCATAATCCAGATAAAGAGGTAAAAATGCTAGGGCTATCTCTCAGCCTTTTCCTTCAGCCACTGTGTATTTTTGGATGTCAATTTTTTTTTCACCAATCATATTTTTCACTACCCCTGGCTTGTATCATTTTGTGACTTCTCGAAAAAATATAAATGCTCTAAAAACATATCTTCGTTACAAAACACAGAAACGTACTCTACAATTTGTTATTAGTTGAAAGATCTATGGCAACCTCAACAGAGACATCCAACATAACTCTCAGGTCACTGACCTAGCCAAACCAATCATCGGGGAGCGAACCCGATAACGATCTAAAGGTTTACCCAAGGTCTCCATGCCTGCTGTTCACTGGAATGTAGTTAAGTGACTACTGATCTATATAGGATTATTGACAGTTGACCTGCCAGCAGTGGGCACAGGTATAACCTGTTATTACAGGTCACTCACCCAGGGCAGTGCCTGTAGACTGTGTTGTGTGGAAACATTGACAGTAGACATATCTACCACAGAATCAACATACTAAGGGCTAGTCCATTTGGAAAACTAACAGGGTGGTGGGCTTTTTTTTAACCTTGTCCAAGTGTTGCTAACAGAAATTCTAGTGCACAAATTCTTGGGTTTAAAATTCTTCATCATGCTGAACACAAGAAATATGCTACAGAAAAATTTAATGTCATATTCTAAGAAAAAAAACGTATGTTTGTAATATGTATGCTTTACCCTGATGCTAGCATGTCACTTGTAGGGTTCCATGCACAGATGAAGACCTCTGATTCGTGCCCTCTCAGTACTGTAGCCTTACTGGGTGGGATTTCCATGGTGCCGTCCACCTCCATAGCATCTACATGGTTAGCTGGTACAAACAAGAAAACTTGCTATTAAATCTGACACAATACAGTAGTGAGAAAAAGGCAAACAATCATTAGCACCACCTAGCAGAATGGCATCAAACTGCAGGCTCAGATGTCAATAATCTTTCAAAAACATTTTATATATTTGTGGTCGTATGTTGCTTGGTTTTGGAAGTATCCTCCAATTTTAGATAAAAATCTTTTACAGCTATCAGATTTCTGACACTAAATCCCTTCTTGTTTGTTGACATTTTGGCCTTCCCATCCTGGCAAAGGTTTGTAAACAAACAACCAAACGTGACACCTTTCCTGGTACTAAAATTACATCACAAATTACTTTCACTCTAAAAGCACTCAAAAGCTGTACATGTAACACAAGTAGGTTATACAACATATGTTCCTAGTATAGCTGTCCGGATGTATCCCTATAATGTACATGTATGACGCACGTGCACACATCTTACATGAGGAATGATCAGTTTTAATTATGTATGAAAGATCATCTGTCTTGACTCACTGTCTACGTTATTCGTGGTGTCTTCCCCGTTAATTTGTGCCTCAGCTTTGGCCGCGTTGGCGACTTTTTCTGCCGCGATCTTTTCTCGAAGCGCCTGCGACCTGGACTGTACCACATCCGGCATGACCGCGTCGATCAACGATAGCGCCTCGATGCCTCTGTTGTCTAGAATTGTACCATCCTGCAAGGCAAGAGAAAGTAAAATAACCTTAGCCATCTCTTTACCAAAATTCAAACCAAGAATTTTAGCTCCTTTGATTTGTGAGCAATCTTAAATGCAAGTCTACACATTTTTCTACAAAGAAATGCAAAAAGAACACAAATGCAGTGACAAATAACACTAATACTTTTCCTTCCCCCCAAATGGGCAAGTAACCTGGCATTAAAGCATTCAGGCTGTACGTGTACAGCCAAACAAAGGCTGGTATAAAAACCACAAACAAAAATCGCCTCAGGCTAAGATATCGTTCTGGCGGTCGATGTTTCACAAATCTGACAGGTTCTCTGAAACTTGAGGGGTAGTACTGAGATTGTTATCTACAGTAATGACATGTCTTTTTGTGCATGCCGGTTGCATAACCACTGACATTTACATGAGGGAAGAGGCACCGGTGGTTGAAGAAATGTCAGATGCCATTAGCGATCGGCTGGCTCACGTGCCAAATCCCGGCTAAGCTCCCCGCTACACTGACAATGAGCATTCTCCATTAAAACGTGCAGTTTGAACTGGGAACCACGTGAAGCATTCAGACTATCAAAATATAGCTGCAGAAATGCTGCAAATCTTGGAAATGGAAAGGAGGAGGAGAGAGGGATAGAAAGCTTGGCACTGAAATATGGGGAGCTGGGAGGGGTGAAATCCACCCCATCCATCAGAGTATTGAAAAGGGACGTTGACAGTTGCAAATAGAGATCATCATCAGTTTAGTTAATGTTCTGTAAAGACCTTCCTACAATCAAACTTATACTTTCATCAAGTAAAGCTAGACAAAAGATACTAAAAACATAGCAGTGACTACTTTGCCAACAGAAATCTGTTCAAAACATGGTACTAAAATTACCATATTTTGTACAAGTGAGGTTTAATCATTTGAATTTTGAGCCAGTTCTATTCACAGGTTTCGATTGCTAGCATTTCAAACCAAGTTTCTTCGTGATCCACTGGACTACACACAACCAGCAGTCTGCCAATTTTTCTGTGGCCAATCCCCCATCAATTTGTAACTCCTTCACCAAATGTCAATTCAGATATGTACTAATGTACAGTAGTTCACTGCCATTTCATATTGCCTCCCTGAAACAGCCTTGCATTCCCTCACACAGGCAGCAGATTGGGAGCCTTGTTAAGAGAGGTCCCTGTTGGTACCACCATCAATTTTACCCTCATCTTTCATTTAAAGTAGGGCATGGGGAATGGCAGCTATACAGGTGGCTGTTTTCTCTAGATTTTTGTGTGTTAATCCCTCTGAAGTGTTGGGGCTGGCCAGGGGATTAACTCCTGAAAGACAAACAAGCCCCTGGGTGCATTGCCCTTAGCATGTCGCCTGGGAGACAATATTAAGCATCGCATCCATGCCGGCCCGTGTGTGACAACCCGTGGACCCTCCCCGCCGGCCACAATGGCGTCATCCATCACGTCCCGTCAGGCGGGCAGGTAGCCGTGTCGGCGGCAACAATGACTCCTTCCCGTGCTGCGCCGCCGCGTAATGAAACACTCCGAGCCGCGATCCAGATCATTTATTTTCGGGGACGGGATCGATGGTCCACTCAACGCTTCACACAACGGAGCGGGGCTAGAGTGTCCAAACCCGATACAGAAGGTGGTCTGGATGCCAGGTCTGATGAATGATCATTGAAACAAAGGAGAGGCTTTCCTAAACCTTGATCTATCATCAGGTCCTGGCTGTTTAGTAGCCATTCCAAGCACTCAGTCCTCTAATGACCTGCACTTGCACCGAGTTTTGAAAATGTACAAACATCCTCTAGGGTGTCCACATTATCAACTGGAAGAGGAAGAGAACGAATTGATAGTTTCAGACATCACTTTATTCTCTGACTAAATTGGAAACCATCTGACTTGTTTTCAAACACCTATCAGCAACACTGTGGCTGAAACAAATTTTTTCTCTGAATGAAAAATGAATTTCTTACAGGTGACCAACAGAACTTAAGTCTCAAATCATTCAGTAGGCGTGAAGATGAAGGGGCTAAATGTGGGGAGGGGGGCTGAATGTGGGTTGACGACTGGAGGGGTGTTGCTGTAGGTAATCCTCCTGCCTGGACTGTTTCCAAAAATGTCAGCCAAGCCTGAGATATACTGAGGTGTTGCCAAAGTGGCACTTCCTTTCTCGCTGTCTCCACAGTTGGTTTCCGTCTCCCTGTGTCTGATACTGCACTCAAAAGATAGAAGCATCATCAATCTTCTGACTCAGGGCTGCCTTCTGTGAAGACTTTTCCGTGCCTGTTACTAGATTGTCCATATGAACTGACCACTACAGACTGAGCACAGCCCACTGGTAAGGGGTGTTCAACAGCGTCCTTGCAACTGGTTTTAGAGAAACTTGAGAACTGATTCTGGTGGTTTCTAATTCTGACAAGAAACGGCAAGGAGTCTGAAGTTCAAGGTCTAGTTGGGGGAACAACAGACACAGACACAGCCAGAAAGAAGTTAGTTAGGGGTCATTAACTTTGTAATGGCCTGATGCCAGAGGGAAGATGCACATCATCATGTGGCTATCAGGAACAGTCCTGGTCGGGATACAAACATCTGCGATTGGAATCTTCGTATTTTCGTATTTACCGTATCTTTCCAAAATACTGTACATGTATTAATCTACAGAATTGAAATGCTTTTACTGCAAAAGTATGTGTGAAAGTGAATGAATTTACAATGTTTTTACCCCAGACCCCTTGGTTAGACTGAGCAACTTCTCTGGGTTTAACTGGTGGCTAGCCCATGTACAGTAAGTATGGTATCCAGGCTACATTTTTTTTTCTGGTGGTACTAAGGTACTTACTTCGTTAATACTGATCTCTGCCTCCACGTACTGCAGACCCTTCTGTATGATGGAGATGAGGGCGGCAGGCGGGACCAGCGCTCCGTTGATGTTAGACTGGCTGATGTGACTCTCGATGCCGAACGTGAACGCAGAATGGGTAAACCCTGGGGAAAACACAAGGAAACCAGTGGTCAGACAAGAATCTTTTAGCAGGGGAATTGTGGTGTCGCAGGGCTCTCCCCAAGCAAGGAAGTAAGGGTGCTCCCCCTCTCTCCCAAAAATCCTGGCACCTCTCCCAAAATGTTCAAATCTAGGTTTTCCCTTAGTATTTTCATGGTGTTTTTTATGAAAACTTTCTGGTTTTTCAACTGATTAGAGAGCACCTCTTCCCTAAGAAATTCTGGGGAGACCTCTGGATGTGAATTCTGTAGCCAAAAAAAACATGAAACATGGAAAATCCCTTGTCACCAAAAGCAGATGTGGCACAAAGTTCATTGTTACAAGGGATTGTTACCTTATCTTTCCTTTTCATATGTTACATAAGGCTTATGAATGTAAGGATATGTAAGGACAAATCAAAGGATGAAAATAGCAATTGTATTGTGTAGCTTAAATGTCATTCTGCAACAAATACACATGTAGCAATGCAAGTCAAGTTATATATGGCACATATGATTACTTCATTGTTGTGGGGGATTGTTACATCATCTTTCCTTGTTATATGTTACACAAGGGTTTTGATGAAAATAGCATTGGATTGTATAGCTTCTTAAATGTCGTTCTGCTATAAATAGTAATGTACAATCATAAAGATCACACTAATTAGGTTTTCTATTATTAAAAAGAAAAAAAGAGCCTGGTGATACCATTGTACTGGAATTACAGTAACTCCAAAATGAAGGATGTCTAGAGCTACATATAAATAACTTTATCTTTCACTTATCCTGCAACTCATTAAAGCTTTTATCAGGTGCTAGACTTGCTTTGTGTGAAGCTGTAACAGCAAGACTCAGCTCCTGCTTGGCACATAACAAATGCATCACCGTCGGCGCACTTAAAATTCTACGGACGTTCGCAGTCGTGATTAAAGCTGAGCGTGCCCCTGGCAAGTCAGCTGAGTAATAACTCAGCAAAAATAGAACTAATAAACTGCACTTTCTCCGATTGAAGGTAGCCCCCCCCTCCCTGAAGCAGTCGCAGTCTCCGGGATTCGCCGCTACGTTCCCCCGCGAGGGAAACTGATGGGTCATCCCTGTTATATAATTGCTTTTGATCCAAATGAGGCTATAAATCGTCCTGGAAGTCATTAGCAAACTCGCCGTCCCAAAGGGCTCTATTGTTGTCTTGGGACAAACTCCCGGATGCAAAAGACACTCACAAATCACCATCCCCAACATTCCATCACATTACAATAGAAGAAATATGACTTCACCGTAACGAAATATTCCCCCTACAAAACATCCATTTATTCAAGAATTGTTACTCGGGCAGGAATTCCGATACATCAGCCGGCGACGTCTAATCTAAACTCTTTAACGAAATGCAGGCAGCGGCGCAGGCGGTGTCAACAGAGACCGGGCGGCAACAAAAACCGCCGCTGTCAGAATTTTCCACTCCTTTGGACAGGGCGGAAATATTTACTCTGGGTGAAGGTTCCCAGGACAGGGCGCTCTGCCTGGCTGGGAGTGGGACAAAGGACCTGCCAGGGTACATCAGTCTGTCCACCCACTCCTCTGTGTGTGTGCCTGAACAGAAGGGAGCCTGGGCCTGGCGGGGCTGAAACTAGGTCAACAAAGGAGGCAGGCTGGGGGCAGAAGGGATGGCTGGGGGCAGGGGGGCGGAGTCTGCCGCTGACAGTGACAGATTGAGCAGTATTTGCAGGGGTGACCGACCTACAGGACACCTGATGATGGGATATTGTCTGGAGGAAAAAGGGATGGTTCCACTCTAGATAACCTGGGGAGGATTCAAGGCCTTTTCTAGAGGGAAAAATCGGAACAACAAGACTTCATGTGCAAGGCAAACAGTGACTTATACAATGATTTATAACAACAGAAAATGGAAAGGAATAATATCTGTATAGCCGGCCGGTATAACCCCCCTTCGGCGTAACACACCAATATGGATTGGAGACAGAGCAAAATACTGGGACAGTCAGTAGGTGCATATTCACTTTAGACGCTTTAGTATACTCGATATTGGGAGTGTGCACCTAATTTTTGACTGTGTACAGTTACATATGTAAAGGTAGTATAATATAATTGTAAGCGTGCACCTTCATGTAAATTACTAGTGCACCTATTCCCAAAAATGAATTTCCAGTGCTGTAATTATATTCCAGTCTTCCCATTTTCTACGCCACAGTTATTTGCATGTATCCCAGTTCTCAAAAGCGAATGACATCTGACTTGACTGGCTAATGATAAATTACTGAAGCATTTTGAGCACTGATTACTTAGTGTGCCAGAAAGCTACGGCGAGTGAATACAAATTACCGGAGGCAACCAGTCCCAATGGCAAGCAGGATAGAAAATACAGGTCAAATGCATAAGACTTTTGAACAGTTTTTGAGCATGAATATTGCTTTTGGAACGAATATCAAATACAGACGTCTTTTGGACAGTTTTCGAGCATGAATATTGCTTTTAGAAAGAAATATAAATGTGTGAACTACATAGTAATGGTAGCAACCGGTTCACTGGACTTGGATCCGGACTTGTAAGAATGTTTAGGTTCAAGTCCAAAAAAACCTATAAGTCAAGAACCGAGTCCGGACTTATTATCATAAAAGACAATTTCACATACCCCTTTTCTTTCCAAACCACCTAAAACCTCCCGTAGATTGTAAAATCTTTGCTGCAAAACGAAGAAAACATTGCCATCGGGCATCGTCAAGTACCGGCCTCCATGTTATGTGGCCAAAGTTTCACCCAGACAACATTGCAAGGTTGCCAACATGCAATTTTGTATATGCCATGGGTTTAGGTCCGGACTTACAAGTCTGGAACTGAACCTAAACCTGTGGACTTGAATCCGGACCTGAACCTAAATGTGGGTTTAGGTATGCAACACTAGTAGCAACCTATAGAGCATAGCGATTCACAGTTCAATGATAAAAGAGGGCGGATCGTGTCTGAAACATCTGACTCCGCTAGACACATTATCCAGCTGTATGATTTATTTGGTGTGATACGTTATATACCTGGCTTTGATTGTCTAACCTTCATCACCGTACCGTACTCAATAGCTCTATTGCCGTGCCAGAGGATACGCTGATCCCGCGGTAAATTAACGGAGGACCTTGAAACGTTCCCTTACATCTGCAGCTTACCGATAATGCCACGCTTTTCCCAGCGGCACCGCGGTCCTTAGCTAAACGGGCAAGAAAGGACGCTGATAGACTGAACGCCTCAATAACCAGCCTTTTACCGGTTTCCTCGACAATAAATCAGGGGGTGATTTAGGGTTTCTCCTGCAGACTTGGCTGTTACGGTTGCAGCACCACACCTGCACACCCCAGGGGATCATTCTCACTCCGCCAGTACTAACAGCTTTCCCTGTCCCTCAAGACACTTGACTTTGATTTCAAAAGGGCATCAAGGAAGGCTTTTAAGGCGCTCAGGCAGAATTTTAATGGCATCTCCCCCGGGTGGCTTTCTTCTCAGACTTTCAGTCGCTGAAGAAGCACCATGATTTTTTTTTAGAAGTTTGCGCCGTTCCAACTTTGACTTCTGCTGCCGTGACAAAAAAGGATTTGCTGACAGAAAAGCTTGACCTATAGTACAAGCTTTGAACACCATTGCTTCGGGAGAAGTAGAGCAAGACTAATATATCTCCTTTACACGTTTACTTTTCATTTTCCAGCGCGAAAATCCTCCTATAGAATTATCAGCACATTTGAAGTTATGTCATGCTTGTGATACGATCTTATACATCTTGGTTGATGTCTTATTATGACAGCCGAGAAAACCACGCATAAACTGTAATGCTTCTTTCATCCTCTGCCTGTGATCCATTGCCAGAATGTGGCAGTTACTTCTTCCTCAAACCCTATCTACCCCTGCCATCCGTCTGTCCTCCAGCGGCTAACGAAAGCGCGGATCCATGTTCAATCCCTCTTGAGTCAGCATCAGGCGAGCATAAAACTTACAGAACAGATTTATGATCCTGTACTCAGCTGGATTATAAGCACAGTGCCATTTCTGTGACAATGACGAATCGACTGTGGCGCTCCCAGAGGAATGCATAACCAGGCCTGTCAGGTCTGATTAGTATTCTAGGGACAGGCAATGCCAAATACGGGCACACTCTTATTCTACATCTTGTTTGGGCTTTACTGTATGGTAAATCTCGAAAGGTTTTAGATGGGTTTTTATTCAGGTACCACTAGTACTAATATAGCAATTCCCCTGGGGTTTTGTCTGTATGAGTAGGATCTTAGTAACAATTCTCCTTCTGTATTCTTTGGGTTTTTTTTCAAGTATGGCATATTAGCGCAAATCAAACCAATCATCCGCATGTGTGTCAATAACCTCATTTGCATAACAAAGAATTCACTCATCTTTGAAATGTGTTTTATGTTGTGCTGTACCTCATAATTGTAAATAGATCAAAATCATGAAGACGTAATATCGGCTGGAAATGTAATGAATGGAATATTCAAATAGAACATCCTAAGATAAATGGTGGTATAATTAATATAGAAAAAGAATTGGGTGAAATCTATGCCTCGTCTGTACCTTTCAGGACTATATCTCACTCAATGTGATTTATAATCCTAGTCTTCTCTTCACGCGCAGAACTTCTAATCAGATGCTACTCTGACATTTTCGAAAGCTAACTGTCAGAAGAGATAACGCAGCCTTCACTCCCGAACCTGATTATTCGCCTCTCGCAGCGCGACCACGTTCAATCACGCTGTCTCGGCGAGTTCTGCCTTATCACTCAAACCCACCTGGCTAGCCCCGAGGTACAGTACTAACCACCGCATACAGGGCAGATGGCAGACCATTTGTAACAAAGAACAACAAGTGTACCTACCTGAACAGAAATGTTAACTCGGCAATAAGTGAACTTTCATATAACGTTCAATCATTTGCTGCACTTGTAGTTTGTGGCAATGTGAAAATGTCTGCAACATCATTGACTTTGTGCGTCAAAGCAA